CGGGATTGTAGTTTCTACAATCGAAACGTATCCGTCGTCATCTGTGAAACAGATATTCCATAACGGTCAACCAACTCACAACTTGGAACTCTTGGGTTAATAGCTTGAAATATAAAGTTCACAATCGGGAAGCATCTTTTTTTTTTGTCGTATGATTACAAATTGTTAAGACAACATCATTTTTCAACATATGTTAGCCAAGCCAAACTTAGTCAGGAGCCTGTTGTGCAATGGTTGTCGTTTGTTGATGTGGTTCATAGGTGGTTCTCGTTTTTCATTTTTTATATAGATTAGACCGTTGGTTTTCCTGTTTGAATTGTTTTACACTAGTCATTTTTGGGCCCTTTATAGCTTACTGTTCGGTGTGAGCCAAGCTCCGTGTTGAAGGCAGTACTTTGACCTATACTTGTTAAGTCTTCATACATTGTGACTTGGATGGAGAGTTATCTCATTGGCACTCATACCAAATCTTCTTATTTATATTAAAATAAAGCTTTTACAGGCTTCTGAGGAAAAGTGTGTCAAGGTCGGTTACATAAATGTAATCTGTTGTATCCATGGTAACAAGATCAAAGTTTTCACATTTACGGAAAGAAGAGGTTGCATTTATTGTAACTAACCATATCGTTGGGTATACATACAGATTTTATGATAGATGAACATTGACATTTGAGTAGAAATACAAAGGCACCAAATTCTTCATAGAATGATGACCCCGTGAAGCATTTATACTTTGCTTTTTATATGCCATATGCCTTTGGCTTATATCAAACAAGAAAGGAAATAATTTATGGCAGTATTTCCGGGCTAATAACACTTATTTCTGCCATAAATGTCATCAGGTATACTTGATATCAACATTTTGGAGAACCAAAAACTTTTTATGTTATTACAGACAATTTTGAAAAAAGTTTGAAATATAAAGATGAAGAGATGTGGTATGATTGTAAATGATCCACCACAGTCAAAAGGAAGTGGTAGTAAGCAAATATATGTCACCATATGGCCTTCAACAATGACAAAAAATATACCATGTTGTCGGCTATAAAAAGGCTCTGACGTCAAGAATGTGAAACAATTTAAACGAGAAAACTAACGGCCTAAATTAGTACAAAACATTTTACGAAAATCAAATTTGACAGAAATGAACCAACGGTAACCACTGTACTACAGGCTTCTTATTTGTGACAGGCACATGAAGAATGTGGCGGGGTTAAACATGTCTGTATGCGCTCGATCCTCCTCCTTACCTGGGACAGTAGTGTAACTACACAATATCAGAACAAAAATGTAAGAATCTAATTGACTTAACCCAAAAGATCGGTGTGATGCACAAAAACAACTTACATAAAAACAAAAGACCCAAAAGCGTCGAAAAAAAATAATCTCAGTTACTGAAAGCTAGTTGAAAGCCAATTACAACAAATACATTAATCATGTTCTCCCACACGAAAGTACCAATCAGTACACATCCAATGAATTAAGTGTTTAAAAAAAGTAAAATAACAAAAATACCGAACTCCAAGGAAAATTAAAAACGGAAAGTCCTTTATCAAATGGAAAAATCAAAACACATCAAACGAATGGAAAACAACTGTCATATTCCTTCATAGTCAACATTGTGTTATAATCTTAATCACTATAAAAACAAGAATCTATTTCAACAAAGAAAACAAAAATGGCAAACAAACACTCTATAGACAAAGTACAGGAGCAAAAATGAAAGACAAGAATACAAAAATGACCATAGTACAATAAAACAATGGCGGGTTGTACAAATACCGAGCCACGCCAAAAGTATATTACCAAAAATGGACTAAACAGGAAGGGTTAAAATGCACAAGGACAAATTAAAAGAACACTATAACACGTAATTAAGATGATAAACAACGACAGTACCAAGAATCTATACTTCAAGACCATCATGTATTATTTGTGAAGTTAATACGGAATATTCATCAACAAGGTCTTGGTATCTTCCGATGAACTTTTTTAGAAAAAGGACAAGACGTTCTTTTACATAACCCTGGTTCGTCAACTTTCTTCTCAGACACTGGTGACGTTTTATAAAGTCTGAGTAGCAGCTGCAAGCTCTTGAATACCGAAAGAGTAGGGAAACATATATCCCATATGCAGGTGAAGTTGGTATATTGCTGCTAAGGTGGGGGAAATTTATAATTTCAAAACTAAAATCGTCTTTTTTGTCATAGATTCTGGTACTGAGATGACTGCTTATGTCAAATTCCAGGTATAAGTTATAAAATGAGGCGGAGGAAGCCGTGTCTGTTGTTTCATTAATTTCTAGTTCTGGAGGATATATTAATGGAACCCTATCTGAAAAGTTTAGATTGTAAATGGAAAGAACATCAATGTATCTGACTGTGAAATTAAATGATCTGGTTTCTTTGATCTTCTTGTTTTTGACAATTGTCTAAAGGAACTTCGACTCCATTAACCGTTTGAGAAAAAGACGACCTTGTCAACTTACCAATCATTTCAGAACAGTGGCTTCATACATTTGAGAAACACTCAATGTTTGATGTTAATAACACGAGGTGACTTGTGGAAAGATATATGGTCACTTCGATTATCTTCCGATCATGCAACCAAGTCCAGTCAGAATGGGGACGTTAAATCCTATCCCTCGTGAAGAGAGAGTGCACGCTCTCTGTACTTTCAGGACCCTTGTAACAACGTTTTGAGGGTCTGTAAATGACTTGTTGTAAGGCAACATTTCTGTCTCTATCCAATATACCTTCATTTTCCAGTGGCAGTCTAGATTTCCCTGACCGTCATCCCGGACGTCCTCTATTGTATCACCTACCTAGTGTTTATATTGTTGATTTGCTCTCGTTCTAAAGAAGCATTAAATACTAGCCAATTGACGTAATGGAAACATCAATCAAATGCTATTACATACACTTGATCTAGTAATCCCCCTCTTTCCCATCATTAGACAAATGATGAAAAATTCCAAGATGCTATACGTCTTCTGGTTTGCTTAGTACCGAACGTGACCTATTTCTGAATATGACAGTTTTGTCGAGTGTGAATACGCATTGCTATACGACGTGTCTCGGTATTTATATATCTAACATTGATGTGTTTAGTTATGATGTTTCTTTTGTAAGTCCTGTTAAATGTTTTGTTATGTCTTATGTTCTTACATTTATGTATAAAATTATGAATTCTTATTAATTCAAATTTGAGATAATTCCTATGAGAAATAAAAAAGTTATTAACATTTCTCATTTGGTCCTGTCATTGTCCGATAATTGTCCTGTCAGCGGTTCAGTCATTAGTCTAACCCATATTTAGATAATACTTTGTAAGAAAGATTTTGATTGGTTGACAAAAGAGCAAAACGCGTTGGTTTTTCGTACCGTATGAATTACGAATCAACGCGTTAGTTTTTACCAACGTGTTGAAAATGATACCCAACGCGTTGAAAGTGAAAACCAATACGTTGGAAGTAAAAATCAACGCGTTGAAAGTGAAAACCTTACGGTATGTTATTCTGGCCACTCATAGTCGTGTAAGATCAAAGACTGATAAATGTTTGCTTCTCCGCTAAGAACCAGCATTTAAGAGTTAGAAATACAAAATTGTTGACCGAAATTCAGAATAACGTGCCCGGTTGGGTGACATGTCTTTCTGCGGACTGTTAAATTATAAATCGTGCTCAGCGTGTCGGTCTTGTACAAAGTAGGGTTCATATTCATATAACATTATCATGCTCGTCCTTAATATGCATTTAATTATCCACTGGACGTTTAACGGCACTAAACAGGCACCCATCATCGTAATTTTTCATTAGGTCAGTTTCACAGATACTTTCAGTAATAATTTGCCATGTTGAATGATTGTCCGATTAACATGTCCTTCTAACAAGGTTCATCTAAACTGAACAATATTTTCATAAATACTGTTAAGCTTATGTACCAGTAATACCTTTAGGAAGACCATAGTCGTAAAGGCTTCCAATGTTGAATTCAACTATATTGAATCAAGCAGGCTAGACAATTTGAAATGCATACTCTTGTTGTAATGCTATAACCCCTATTAAATCTTGATCGGTTGAACCCAGTTTACCATATACATTGCTCGACTTCAACCAGCATACATTATCAGCATGCCCATAAATGCTCCTGTCAGAGAACATACATTTTTTGGGATATTATATTTATCATAAGGATGTAGCAAAATATTATCTGTTTAGAAAGAAATCTTTTTTCTTCCAAATTCAAAGTGAAAAATAAATCATCCAAAGTATAAACACTAGAGTTTGGGGAATTACTCACTAAAGTCAATAAACACAAAATGTAGATGATACTTTATTTTATAATTTTTTTAATGATGCAATGCAGCTAAACACACAACGATTAATATTCGAATTACAATAAAAGAACAGAGTTCCAATGTCACCCTCGTTGCACATATTTTATCTATCCAAGTTACAAGGGCAATAACTACAAAAAATGTTGTTTTGTTTTTTAAAACTTTTTATAAACATCTTATGAAGAACTGAAGGCTTAAGGGCAAATGCAAATACAATTTCCGTTATAATTAATATTTCCAAGGGCATAACTCGTTAAAAATATTTGAACAGTTGTTTTCCATTCGTTTGATGTGTTTGAGCTTTTGATTTTGCCATTTGGTAAGGGACTCTCCGTTTAAAATTTACCTAACCACTTTTCCTTATGATAGAAGAAGAAATTGAAAACTTATGTTAACTAGAGAATTGTCGTCATTACATATGACAGGATATTATTTTGAAACGAGTTATTAGGAACTTTAACAACTAGGTTAGATGTTCATTTTTATATTCTACCGATTTTCTATCATTTCTTTAAGCTATAATGTAATGTTCAATAATAAAAAAAATGATTGGTTTTATATATGATTAATAAGAAATTAACCAAAAAAACCCTTCGAAAACAAGGAATTTGGGATGGAGTGTTCATTCTAAAAAAATATAAATCCACAGTTATTTCTATACTTCAAAATCCTGATATGGTCACTTCGTATAAATTGGCCTCCATGGTTTTACTGCCTTCTGGTCCACTTTTTCCTATGTAGAGTTTTCCAGATGGACTGAATGCAAGAGACCAAGGTAAAAGTATGCCTATGTCACTTGTTTTATAATAAGTCATCAGCAGACCAGCATTGTTCAGGATATGAAGTGTATGAGTTCTCATATCAGCTGCAATAACATTGTCTCTGGGTGTTGTCACTATATCTTCTGGTAAGAATGGCCGGTCTTTGTTGATCTGTATGATTCCTGTATAAATATTGATCATATCACCATTCTGTCCTAACACTACTACTCTATTTTCGTAATCACTTATTCTATCAACCACATACATATTCCCATTACTGGTCGTGGTTATTTTGTAAGGATATTTAAACATAGGTTGTTGATGTTGATCATGTTCATACACTCTCTCATGGGCTCCATTCTGATTCATTAGTATAACAACTCGTCTTCCTGGTTGAGGGTAGTCTAAATTAAAACCTCCTACGAGAAGTTTATTGTTACTGGTTATATAGACTGCTGTAGGACGCAATGGTGACATATCATATACTGTGTCTATTAGTGTTCCTGTATTACTACTCATTTGTTGTAGTTTTGTTCCCCCGGTACACAGGAGTAAATTATTTGATTGAGTGACAGCCACACCGTAGAGCCGGATATTAAAGCTTGCTAGTATCTTCAGTTTGTTTCCATCTGTTTTCACTTTTTGAACTAAACCAAATCTACCAGAACTTATCCAGAATGACTGATCAATACTTGAGAATAAAATTAAACCCACCAGAAAATCAGTTTCATATTGTTTATTTAAGTCCAGCTTAATATGTGGTTTATCAGATGAATTTTCATCAAATTTGAGCACCCCAATATTAGACTGATAGATCTCACCTGGAAAAAAGTTAGGCATACAGTCATGATTTGACCTTGGTTCTGGCATTTTGATGTCCATATTTTTTTCTAAATTCATAACTACTTTAAAGAACTTTGAAGCATCAGTTATTTGAATGGATTCCTGGACTTCATTGTTTTTATCACTAGCTTGCTGTAATAAGACAGAGACGGCATTTAAATCGGATTTTATAGTATTCGAAACAGTTTTTTGGTGTTGATCTAATTTATCTCGGACTTGTTTAAAGTGACTTTCAACAGCGGCTTTGACAACTTTTTCATGCTCAGAAATGTCTTGATTTGCCTGATTGTACTTTTTTGTCGATGAAAGTTGGACAAGCTGTTCTTTTCTGGAGACTATTATTTTCCTGTCCGTTTGAATTTTACTAAGTCCTTTCTTTAACATGTCAATTTTCATATCATATTCTTCCTGAATTTCAGTTAGATTATGTTTCTTGTGACTTTTTTTCACACAGGTTTGACAAACAAGAGTATTACATGTCTTACAATAATGACAGGTATATTGTCCAGCATGATTCTGACAAGGAATGTTTGCAAAATCTAGTTCTTCTTTATGTAGTCCAATATCTTTGATATCGATTACTTTGTGATCTTTTGCAGTTTTTACCCGAAAATGTACCTTCTCCTTACAATGATTACACAATAAAAGATCACAGTCTACACACTTCCACTTAATGGGTCTATCAGTTTCACATAATCCACAATTCACAGGAACTTGTCCTTTTCTGATTGATTTTGAGAACGCCATTTTTACATTATAAGTATAAAACAGGTTTCCTTTTTTATCTTTTGTGATCAGGTTTGAACTATTATGAATACACTTATTGATTATTTTGAAGTGCACATAGCTACCAAATAGTTTTTATAATGGTTTTAAATGGATCGAAAAAAAACACCAAACAATATAGGGTATATTGTAACTAAGTATTGATTATGGAAAATGATTATGGAAAATATTAAAATAGATAAATTAAAAAAAAATCATTTTAAGTATTCACTGTTGATCGAATTTTACTTACATTCTTACTTTTAACTTATACGACACAAATCAACCAAAAGCGATATACAGTAAATTTATCAATTATATTTTTCGTACAGGCCGTTGGTTTTCTCATCTGAGATGTTTTACATTTTGTCATGTCGGTGCCTTTTCTAGATTACTATACGGTACGGGTTTGCTCAATGTGGAAGGCTTTAAAGTAGGTCAGGTACTACTTCAAGATGAACGGCACGTGTTGAAGCACACGTAAACAGGCAGATAAATATTTTTCTCTCTGTCCTTAACGTACAGGGGTTCCGCAAAGTCTACTCCAGTGACTGTAAAAGGCAGAGCTCCTGCCAATCTGATTTTCGGCAACGGCGGCGAATCAGGTGCTATGTAAGGTTTACCGCTGACTTTTCGGCAAGTTATACATTTGTATAAAACTTTCTTCACATACTGGCGAATGGACGGAATCCAATATGTTTGTCGTATCTGAGTTACGGTAACTAGTACTCCAGAATGTTTTAATTTTTCGTGTACATCATGTACAACCAATCGAGTAAGTAGATGGTCTTTAGGTAATAAATGAAGGAATCTAGCAGTCTCTGTCAATGGTGCGTTGTGAATCCTCCCACCGCAACGAATAGTTCCAGTTGTATCAAGAAATAGTCTTAACTGTTTCACGAGCGACAATCTTTTGCTGGTCTGTGACTTCAAGTCTGCAATTTCCTCCGAGTATTGTCTCTGCTGACATTTCATTATCCATAGTTCCATGGCATGTTGACAATTCATTTGGAAACCCAACATATACCCTCACGACACTTACCAAAGAGGAAATCCTGGATAATCATAGGTCTGAACTATGTTCCTTTGGAATTTCCACCAAAGATGAAGAACTGGATCTTCCATCACTGTATTGGATAACTAAACTACATAAGTGTCCTTACAAACAACGGTATATTGCTGGGTCTTCCAAGTGCTCCACGAAACCTCTTTCTAAATTATTAACATCTATTTTATCAGCAATTAAAGCCGGGCTCCAAAGTTATTGTGAAACTGCCTATTCTAGAGGTGGCGTGAATCAGTTGTGGATACTAAAAAATTTAGAGTACATACAATCTAAGACTCTCTCATCTTGTAATAGTATTAAAACATTTGACTTTTTACACTTTACACAAGTATTCCCCATTCCAAACTAAAAGACAAATTGAAAGAGTTGGTATTACTTTGTTTCATTAAAAAGAATGGCGAACGTAGATACAAGTGTCTTGTCTTGGGGAGGGATAAATCCTACTTTGTAAAGAATCACTCTGATTCAAACAAAAAATTCTCTGAAACTGACATTATCAAGATGCTTGATTTCCTGATTGACAACATATTTGTTACGTTTGGAGGACGTGTTTTTCAACAGACTGTCGGAATTCCAATGGGAACCAATTGTGCCCCTCTTCTTGTCGACATGTTTCTTTATTATTATGAGGCTGACTTCATACAGGAACTTCTTAGGAAGAAAGATAAGAAGTTAGCAATTTCCTTTAATTTTACGTTCCACTATATAGATGATGTTCTCTCACTAAATAATACAAAATTTGGTGACTATGTTGAACGAATCTATCCCATCGAACTAGACCGTTATGGAATAAATGGAAAGATGATATCGGATATGTTCCTAATGTCGTAACTACAATACCCTTCTCTTTTCACGAATGTGACCTACCGAATTAGACTATTTACCGGATTTGTAATAACATAAGCAACACGACGGGTGCCACATGTGGAGCAAGATCTGCTTATCCTTCCGGAGCACCTGGGATCACCCCCAGTTTTTGGTGGGGTTCGTGTTGCTTAGTCTTTAGTTTTCTATGTTGTGTCATCTGTACTATTATTTGTCTGTTTGTCTTTTTATTTTTGGCCATGACGTTGTCAGTTTGTTTTCGATCTATGATTTTGACTATACCTCTGGTATCTTTCGTCCCTCTTTTGTAATTCACTAGTTTTAAGCTGGTCGGGTTTTCTCTGTGATTTTGGAATTTTACAGTTGGCTACAAATCTTGGAATAAAAGCGGTCACTCGGATAGTTTTGAATAAACTGCTGTACCGAGTAATGTCCATAATAATGTCAATTCCTGCTTCGTATTGACTGTTACTTTCTTCTTTTGTTGTTGGGTCGTCGTTGTTTTCGTGTTCTACGAAGGATGATAATACGGTACTATCTGTGAGCGTTGACTTCCATGTCGGCCATTTTTCCTCATCGGTTAGCTATTTGGGTCCGTTAAACCAAAGTGCGTTCTGTAAAAACTGTTCCGTAGGCAGTCATCGAGTCAGTAAATCTGCTGGATTCTCTTTAGTTGGACAATATCTCCATTCATCCTGTGTAGTCAAATTTTTGATCTCATTAATTCTGTTTTGTACAAATCGTTTTAACTGTCTTGACGTATTCAACCAGTGTAGAATAATTTGACTGTCTGACTAAAATACGACTTTGTTGCTAGGTAGCGTAGTCCTGATGTGGCTAGCGAGACGAGCGCCGATAAGTGCAGCCATTAGTTCTAGTTTTGGAAGAGTCAACTTCTTTAGTGGTGCTACACGATTCTTCGCCATTACTACTGCTGAATGACTTCCATTACAAGTATATGCTATAGCTCCATATGCGTCCATAATTGCATCGAGAAAAAGATGTAATTCATTGTGGTCCATGTTAACTGACGAGCTTGTAAAATAGTGCCTTTTCCTTTTTTACAGTTGTTGTGATCTTTAAATCTTTAGCTAGTTTTATCCATAGATGTTGTAGTTCCGATGACGGTATAGGTTTGTCCCAGTCTATTTTCTGTCTCCATAAATCTTGCATTAGTATTTTGGCTCTCACAGTAATAGAGCTTAGAAGTCCTAACGGATCGTAAATCCTTGATGACTGGCTTAAAATCTCCCGCTTTATGATATTCCCGATTTCCTGGTTCAATTTTACTTCCGGAAAAGAAAGTTTGTCTGTAATTGTATCCCAACGTAGTCCTAGTATTTTCGGTTTGGTGTCTTTGTCAAGTACATTTTCTTTTCAGCTTGTGCAAGTTCTCGTAGATGGCTACTATTTGATGTCCAAGAGCGTAGATTAAACCCAGCTTCTGACATTAACGATCTTGCTTTACAGAAATATGTAAGAGCTTTCTTCTCATTTTTACGGCTTGACAAAACATTATCAACATACAAATCCTTCTTCATGGTGGATGCAGTTTCCGTTTTGTATTTATCTAAGTGTTTCAGTAATGCTGCATTTAAGATAAATGGAGAACATGTGGCGCCAAATAATACAGATTTGAACCTGTAAGTAATCAGCTGGCTAGTTTGGTCATTCGGATAACGATCTTGCTTTACAGAAATATGTAAGAGCTTTCTTCTCATTTTAAGGCTTGACAAAATATTATCAACATACAAATCCTTCTTCATGGTGGATGCAGTTTCCGTTTTGTATTTATCTAAGTGTTTCAGTAATGCTGCATTTAAGATAAATGGAGAACATGTGGCGCCAAATAATACAGATTTGAAACTGTAAATAATCAGCTGGCTAGTTTGGTCATTCGGATCGCTCAACCATAGGAAGTGTGTGACATCTCTGTCACTGTTGTCTAGGACAACATGTAGAAAGGCTTTCTCAATATCTGTGCTCACTCCAATTTTGTTAAGTCGAAATCTCATCAGAA